GACTTGGTGACAAAATGGTATCAAGGCCAACAAAATCGAGGCCCGCGACCGTTCTGCCACCCAATCTTTGAATGTTCGACTGCAAGACAGCTACGGCCGCCTGTGACAATGGGAAGTTAAACGCAGCACGATTTGATGCCCTGTGAGGATCTCTATTCAGTTTTACACTTGGCGGTCACTCGGAAAACGTTCCATCATGCTTGCCCGAAAACCCTGGGTCGTGCCCTCCCTGACTTGGAGTACCACAAGCCAAGCACGTTCCACCGCATGCTGGGTCACGTCGTAGCGTTTATCGCCTTAATCGGGGTGTATTTTTGAAGCCGTCGTGTCAGAAAATGTGCTGGTAAAGCTGGAGAATGCAGCTTCTAAAGCTGCCAGTTAAGGCGCTTTCTATGGTAGGGGGATGTAGTCACAGGCGTCCCGCACACCACGGGTTGAAGTCACCAGGTCTCAAAACAGACACTCATCGACTGACATGCAGATCACGATCCTGATCGCCAACTTTTCCCTTTCTGGCAGCTGTAGGTTAGTGACAGTGGCAGAGGGGTCACGTTCACGCGCGATTTTTGGTCACGTTCCACGCGCGAGGCACAAGCACTTGCCGGCAGGAATTTGATCGAAACGGATCACCTAGCATCCTTCTGTCTTCAAGCCCATCAAGCTTTCTAGTGTGTTTTCAGACGAGTTCATCATTTTCGTTCGCCCGCTGGCCAACGCGTGGTGCTAGCCGTGAAATAGACGCCACTCGGTCCAAGGAGACTGTAACGCCGGGCTTCGGGATTTTTGTTCGTTAGAATTGCGAGCGCGCATGGTCAGAATTATGTTACAAAATTGTTCTCACTAATCGATCCGAGTATAGGTTGAAAGTTCTCAGACGAACATGGGGTGGCTTCATTAATACAAATTTTAGACGTAATTTCGGGCTAGCACCGACGTCGGTGGGATCCTCAACATATCCATAGAACCAACAGCCATTCTAGTGGAGCATCTGAGTTCTTGTGGTTCAGAAAGAACCAGCTGGACCACTGAAGGCTGAATAGCGCGGCATTTTTAGCTCGTGGGTTCTGTTTCAGTAAAACAGTTATAAAATATGAGTGTGACGAAGAAAATCGGCCCATTGAAATCCAGGATCTTCAGGGGATCTCTGTCACTCCTGCGCAGTGCCCCCCCCCCCCCCCCAACTTACTAACCCCCTGGCCGCGCCCCTGCCGAGACGCATGAAAGTTGAGAAACGAAACGAAACGAGAAACGAAAAAAAAACGAAAAAAATCTGCGAACAATGGTATGGATGGATAGATATAACCTGTGCACCAGTAGAATAGAGCATGTATGTGATCGGAGATGCTGAACATAAATGGACAGCCTTTTCTTTTGTAGCAGCCTTAGTACGCCATGGGCGTTACTTTGTGCACGAGAAGAAAGTCCGTGTATTTTTTATCTTTCGGCATCGAAAATCATGCACCCGCCGTCACGATGCTGTACATTATCTACAAAACTAAAACATCGAAATCGGACTGCACGAAATCCATCTTTCTAACCTAGCGGCGCTTCCAAGCGCCGATTAAAACAACGACGGCTTCATCTGGGAACGCCACGTTACAAGGTACATGGAGGTTTTGTGGAGAGGGTCTGTTAGCAAACTCCAAGAATTCAGGCAGAAAAAGACACACGTCGTTGGATGATGAAAGCTCCCATAACTTTACCCCGTATTTAACCTCGGTATTTACGTCATATCTACAAAGAGACACAGATTCGGTGTTTTCATGTTACAGTTGATCATCACGTGCGTTTTTGTCGTAATCAGAAGTCGTCGCTAACAAATTACCGAAGAAAAGGCAAACTTCACGGACGGAGTTTCCTACCTCGTTTTATGAACCGCATTGTTCTTTGCCATAGGTGGAGCCTATCTAAGAATAACCAGAAAGTAACAGAGGCCTCGACATCAACGGAAAATGGCAAGCCATCTAATGAAATCTGCCGGGCGACTTGGTCGACTTACGCCTCAGCACACAGCCCTCTTCCTTTGCGACATGCAAGAAAAGTTCAAACCAAACATAAAGCATTTTGAACAAGTCGTTGATACGTCACGAAGAATGCTGCAAGCTGCCACCATCTTGGATATACCCAGCGTTGTCACAGAGCAGTACCCGAAAGGTGAGATTTGCATTAGACACATCATTCTGCTTTCCTGATGATTATCTGATACTTGCGGCCATATTGGCGCATTCAAAGAGTAAGGTCACTTACGTAGCTGCTGCCGGGTGACAATCGGCAAAATCAAGGTCCCATGCGGTGAGTGTCGAACCCCGGCCTTTTAATCCATGGGACAGCCATCGCGGCCGCCTAACGATTTATATGGCAGTGGATGGTTGCTTGCTGGGTGACTGGTTGGCTGGCTGGCCGGCTGGCTGGCTGGCCGGCTGGCTGGAGCCGAGTTTTAAGTCGATTTTCTGAACACCATCCGCGTGAAAATGGTGTTAATGGTCAGCTGTGGGCTCCGTTGGAAAGTTATGTTACCCGTAGATTATCCGGCTCTAGTCCGAATAAGTTGATGTTCGAGGAGGTGCAGAGGAGGTGCAAAAGGTGCACAATTTGTTTTGATCACACGAGGTTCTAAAACAGAGATGGATCCCAGTAGCATTTCACGCGTGGTTATGTCGAGAAAGGTGGGTAGTAAATACTTGTCAGACTATTATTCAAACGACCACAGACATTGAGGTAAAACCATAATGTGCCTGTTCGGTACGTCAAGATGAGCAACGAAAGACGAGTTGATCATCTTCTGTATGAAGACGTTGGGAGAATCGGATGGGACTGCTGGCTATTCGGTCGTGTTAAAGTGCTGTAAACACATATCAGATCAACGTTCCAACGGCGGCAAATGCTTAATCCTAAGCGAAAATGTTGGTCGGCAAAATCGCTGTAATGTCGGGGCCCCAGATTAACTTATTGGGCACCTGTCCGAAGCAGAACGGAGGCCCCCCCGCTCGTTACCGGGCCCCGCTGCTGACACAGAGTCCTTCCATTTTGTCATTGTGAGACTTTTCCTCACCATCCATCATATCTCCTTCAATCGTTATTTGCCCTCATCTTGCTATGTTATTTACCATATATACATTGCCGTTTATCATGTCTCGTTTTGTTGTCAGGGACTAACGTAAAACGTCCCTAACGCTCGCGGGCCTCGGGCTTTGTCCTTGCTGGGGAAATAAGCCCAGATTTACATTAGGCCGGCTGTTTGCTATTGATGGTCTCTGACCGATTCTGGGGCTGTCTTTGTTTCCAGGTCCCCGATCGCCAAAGCGAATGAGGCCTTATTGTTGGACGGGGTTCCTCGAGGGAGGTCTCCTGCCTGCCCTTTGGGAATATCTGGCCCTCCGATCGCGCGTCTGGTCGTCATTCCGGAGAGTCCTTTGGGCTGTCGCTGCCGGGACCCTATAGGGGGGGGGGGGGGGGACGTGGCTCTCATGTGCCTCACCCTTGCCTACGCCTCTGGGACTATGGGGGTTTCACGGTTCTCAGGTCAAGCGCGCATTAACGCCGCATAGTTCTTCAGGCTCGCCACAGACAGGGAAATGAAATTGTTTGCCTGCTAAAGGTGGAGCGGTAACCCAGCGGCGGATAAAACGTGAAGAGCATCATGCGCTCCTGATAATGTGCGGCTGAATCTGCGAGCCCGGACACGGACCTGTAGATCTGACATCACCGAACCACCGATCGAAGCAAGCGATGGCTTTTCATAACTGCAGCCCGGTTTTCTGAATCTGAGTGCTCGACTTAACTGCACCACTCAGAGTCAAACAATGCCTTGGTTATTATGCAGTACGCCAATACAACTTTTCCAATGATTGGAATAATCTTTTCCTCTTTGGTTGCAGTGGAGGGCCTTTTTGAACATGAAATGCGCGGGAAAACGCCCCTCCATTCGACCAAATCTCATTCGCATCGTTCACATGTCATAGGGCGTTCTCTGCTCCCAATGGGCATGCAGTGAAAAAATGGGGCCAGCTTCCCCTACAGTACGCCGAAAAAACGTGTTTTCCACTTTTTTGGCCCGCTTTTTTCTCAAATATTGTTGGGGGGGGGGGGGGGTAGCTCAAGTTGGAGAGGGCTGGAGATCCCCGCCCCAACTGAACAGGAAATTACGCCCGTGGTAGAATAAAAGCAGTGCAGTGGTTGAAGACACAGTTCCTGTCTTCATTTATCAATGCATCGTTACGAAGTGGTCTTTCATTACAATTGAAATGAATGTCTGGCATTTGAGTGTCAACAGCTGTATTTCGTGGCCCTCGTTCAGCCATTGATGCTGCAGTGCTTGGTCCGTGGCGTTAAAAAGCTTCACCTCGGGAGCACCACGAACGCAGCCGACTGGGCTATGGCCCGGGTCCAGAGTGAGGCCCGGTCTTACGGTCTAGCGACTGGCCGCGCTACCTACCAGCCGCTTATTCCGAACGGTCCGGCATGTCGCTTCCAGTTGGCCTTCGGGAAGTGGATGCTTTTTGTGGACGTGCTGTTTAGTGTGCTTTTGTGTTTGTTGACGTGCCATTTGAGTGATGCCATGACTGATGTGTGTGTGTGACGTGTGGTGTGTTCCAGGTTTGGGCAGGACTGTGCCGGAGCTGGGGGTTGAGGAACATGGCTTGAAGCCGATCGCCAAGACACAGTTCTCTATGTGCGTCCCGGAAGTTGAAGATATGCTCAAGTCGAACGAAAATGTACGCATTTCGTGTGCGGGGTTTAAATGGTTTGGTTTGCAGATAATGGATGCTATGGAGAACTGGACGTTTCAAAATAAAAATTCTGGCGACAATTTATAACTAGGCCTTCCAAGTACGTCGGCTTCCTAACTCATTCGTCATTCGCCATTTGTCACTTGTCATTATTTATTAAATGCCTTGGGGTTTCCGAAATTGTTTTTTTTTGCGAATGAGCGGAAAGTTTCGTGATATTTCGCGGTACTTGAGAGGGCTTTTTTAGGGACTCTTTATGCTATACTAATGTCACAGATTTTGACCTTCATAAATAACAATATGGTTGAAAGTGTAGGTCTTTAGTTGGAATTGTCCCTCATGGTTTTGGCCTTTGGGCTCAAATTTTCAGCTCGCTGTACGAAGCAGCGAGGTAAAAGGTGGGGTCCTTGTCCTTTAATTTAATTAAGATGTTTGTGATGTTTAAAATTACTAACCAAACAGTTTTGTCCGGAGTTCGATTTTTCACCCATCCGGTGTATATCGATGCTCAGTTATTCGCAGTTCGCGGATGGTTCTGAAGGAGGCTATGTTCTTGTACCAGAGCGGGACGCTCGCACCCCGGGCTGGAGCAGCAGTGCTAGCTGGGTGCCAAGTTGCGATGTCATTGGTGCCGGTGTGTGATTCCTCTTCCATGCGGCCGTCATGGCTTTTCGCAGATCCGGTCGGTCATGCTGTGCGGAATCGAAACGCACGCTTGCATCCTGCAGACCACCATGGATCTGCTGGAGAAGGGCTATGACGTGCACGTGGTGGCCGACGCCTGCGCCTCCCGGAGCCACGTGGACAGGTGGGTCGTCCGGCCTGCTGTTACTGTTGCGGATCTCGTTCCTAGCTGCCTTGTGTATGCAAACCAACTGCATAGGTACCTAGTACATAACACATGTTTCTACTTTTCATGTACATTTTAGCGCTGGCTTTAGCCATTTGCCACATAGATCAGCTTCGTCAAATTGTTGTTGCATCAGTCGTAGCTCGAATGTGTTTTCTGGCGACGGTGGGCTTGGGTTGGTTTTATACGGGGCAGCTGCTCCGGCTGGGGCACCAGGGAAACCTCTAGGCTCGAGATACGTCTACTGTGTTTTGGTGCAGCAGCCGGCAGTTGCATTGACCAAACATTTTGTGTGCAGGGTGTACGCCCTGGAGCGCATGCGTCACCTGGGAGCCTTCCTCACCACCAGCGAGTGCGCCATCCTGAGCTTGGCGGCCGACTCGGCCCACCCGAAGTTCCGTCAGCTGCAGAAGGTCATCTGGACGCCGGCGGCCGACTCGGGACTGTTGCCGACCCCGCCATGAGATGATCCCCCCCTCCCCCCCCCCCCCCCACAGGCCTACGTGCCACCGGCTGTAGCCGAGGAAATGTCGGGAACTGACCTCGGGCTGACTGAACTGATATATTGTTGTTGGGGATGCCGATGCCACTGACCCGAACGGTGGCCTCGTGCTAGTGATTTTTGTAAGGCTCGGGATTGTTGCCACGTGTTCTCACACCGTGCTAAAGGTTCGCCGCGGTGTGTGGTGTGTTTGGCTCGCTGGGTGGCCCGTGGCCGGGCTGGCTGCGCCTGGGGTTCATAGATCTTTTGGACGGGCGCTACCCGAGAGCGTGGCGACATGACAGTGCTGAGGAAAGCGCTCGTGGTGATGGGAGAGAAGTACGGTGTTGGGCTGGCCTCACGGTGTCAGGCTTGCTTCGTGAAGCATAGATATGTATCTCACAAATTAGAGCTTGGGTGATGTAAGTGACGTCAAATGTAGGCATGCGAGCCGGCATCGCAGTTTGTCAAGTCTTTTTTGCCAGCGAAAAATGACGTCGGCAATGGGAGCGCGGTAAGCACTAATAACTAACAACTCAGGGGCGTAGCGTCATCGTAGTTTGCACAGGGTATGGCCATGGTGGCGTGAGTCCTGGCAAATTTCCCGTAGGCTGTAACATAACACGGGACGCGGTTCAGGCGTCTTTGTTTTCAGTTTTCGCCGAACTCGTGACGGCAGTTCTGCGACTGCACCCGTCAGATATCACGCTTGTCATGCCTCGATAACACCGTCGGTCACGAACCTGCGACCCTGGTACCGACGAGTGGCCAGTGTCCAGCCGGCCTCTATTCGCTGGACTGTGCCATGTTTACGGTATCCCTGGACAGACATAAACACTGTCTGCGGATGAGGTCCTGGTGTTTAATTGGATTCCCCACCATCTGCTCTGGTTCGGTAACCACCCCACCGCGGTGGTTGGCCGGCGGTGGACGGTGGTTGCCGGCGGTACACCAGTTCCGACTGCTTGTACGCGAAGGTTGTCCACGTACCGCGGGAAGCGCGTCCCACAACGCGCGGCTCCTGCCACGCATCATCCACTCCCAAACCATGCGGTTGTGCGAAGAACTAACCCATAGTAGAGCGCGACACAACAAAAATTAGACATTACAAATATGCTAACCACACCGTGACGCAGGACTGCATCTCGTTCAGTTTAAATGCCACAAAACGGATAGCTTAACATCTAAGCAACAGCGTCTTTTCTGGCCATTAACGGAGGTCTGTAGGTGGACGTGGTGCATGCAGTGTTGAGGTGATCATTGTGTTGTTGCTCGCCGCGGTGTCGTATGGGTAAGTGACGCAGACGTCTGTTACGAATAGGGTAATGCTCAGCTCGGACTTGCCTACAGTGAAAATTGTTGAGAAGAGCCTAGTTGCATCAGTGGGACAGTCGTTTCAACATCAGAAGGGGAAAAGGAACTGAATTCGGAAGTCTTGCCGGATGTCAAGGCATGGCAAGATTGCGAAAATTGAGCTGTGTTTGAAGCCACCCGCGTTGCATCCTGTGTTAATGAGACCCATAATAGTGGAAGCGTGGCTTTTTTGGCTTGGCTCATTTGACTGCTCGAACCCCCTGCATCTGTGGTGCGTGGTTTGCGTGATGAGTTCCTGTGCAAGGATGGGCTCTGTGTTTCTTTCGCGCCGGCTGTCTATGATTGGAGTCTTCGATAACAAGGAAGGTTGCCAGAGGCCAACAAAGTAACAAAACGGAACTTTTAGGGCACTTAAGCGCACTTAACAGCGCGCGGACACCGTTGGCGTAACCGTGAGGCGAAAATGACGTAGGAAAGGAACGTACGCCTGGCGGGCAGAGCTAATCAATTGGATCAGGCGGCTCCCAAAATTTCGAAAAGGTTTGCACTTCTCGCTCACATGCATGGTTCCTGACGCCAACACCCTAAATATTTTAAACAAGGGACCGAGTTGTGCACTACCGCGACACAAATCGGAATAGAGAGAGAGAGAGAGAGAGAGAGAAGAAGAGAGATAGGAGAGAGATATAAAAGAGAGAGATAGAAAAGAGCAGAGAGAGAGGAGGAGAGCGAAGAGAGAGAGAGAGAGATCGAAGAGAGAGCGAGAGAGAAGAGCGATTCCCTCTACTGCTCTCTCGCTCTGCCTCTTCCTTCGAGGAGAGAGCTCTCATAGAGAGAATATCAGACTCTCCTCTCTCTCGGCTATCAACCCTCGCTCCTACCATCTACGCCTCTAGAGCGGCCCCCCCATGCCCTAGAAGAGCTATCTGCAGCCTGCATTGGAGGCACACAGAGGCTAACTAATAATTTCCAGCAAATAATACACAGCTCTCTCAAAGCAACGCACCACAGGCTAATATTAAACATTGCGTATCATTCGTGGACACTTCGTTCTGCCAACCTTCAAAGGCAACAGCGCAGGTAGAGACTAAACCGAGAAAACCAAAAACTTCATTGTGCGTGGCTGATGTGACTGACGCCACTGAAATGTATAAATACTTGAACAAGCGCCGCCACAGCCGCCGGATCTGGATCACTGTATCGTGTGAAGTGGACAATGCCCGCGTCATCAAATCGGATTTCATGTCCGTTCCTTGTCCCTTATTGCAAAACAATGAATGCTTTTTGTGAACACGTGGGCAAAGAACTTAGCGCATCCCACCTATCATTTGTCTAGCTTGTCCGCAACATGCGGGTTCCAGCTTGGTACGGGCCAATGCATAACACTGCCTTGAATTTCCCTGCGGTATCTGCGATGTTGGAATTGCAGCATTCTTATTTGTATTGCATAAACTGTTGTTCTACGTCAAACTCAAAAACTTAATGAAAGCTTGCACAAAAAACAGGTTTTAGAAAGATGCCCGCCGAACAACAAACGCCTAACTTATCGGGTGCTTGTTATTTTGATGCGACTTCATCATGCTAGCTCATGAAGCGTCCAACACATATCGTCAGCGTTGGCACACGCGCGGAGAATCTCCCCTCCAATATTTGACACAGGTGCGGACAAGAGAGTGGGGGACCACTGAAGTCGGTTTATTTGCTATCCTGAGCTCCTCTCTGGGCAGGACGCGGCAGTACCCCGTAGATCGAGTCGAAACCGAGACATTACGCACAACGTCACTAACAACAGAGGCTGAGTGCGCATGTTATCACCAGCTGCCGGATTGTTTAGACTGCGGGTAGGATCGATCGATGGAGCAGTGCACAGGAACTTCCCGGTTAGCTGTCTATTTACCTTGACAAACCTACTTATGAGATATGACAGGTAGATGATAATAACGCGCGTCAATAGCATCCCAAGTTTCCTTTCAGTTGGTTTTCCCCAGACGTAAAATTAGTTCAATCAACTTAATGGCCACATCAGACAGCCAATATCTTATTTAGGGACCCGGCTCTGACATTCAGAGGGCTCTCTGCGCAGATCGGGGACCCCCTGAGTTGATAAAGGCATTTGTGTTGGGTGGGCACCATCAGTAAGCACAGTCGGCTCCATGTAGGTATGTCGGCCTGTCGGCTCCATGTAGGTATGTCGGCCTCCAGTCGGCCTGGAGGCTCAATGCCCAACCAGCGACAAAGCCGCGGGCCAGTGGTTTACATTGGTTGGGGTTCTGCATCTGTCAGGGACACAGTGCCTAACAAGGGGTCCTGTGTTGTCAACGGCGCCCGATTCGACCAAGGGCCATGTTCGATGGGGCCCGAAGAGGGGCCCGGAAGTCAGTCATGGAACTACTGAAACCGACGACCAAGGACTTCCTAAGAGCACATAAGTACTCGAAGTGTTGGCTGTAGTTTACATAACGGATCCCGGCACCGTGCTTCTGTGTCCTTGAAACAGTGACAGGGCCTATGTCTGTCCATATCCATCGGTGTCTAACGAGAAGTCATGTGTCAGCAAGAAGCCCCGAGGGGGTCACGGGCCCTGTTTGAGAAGGCCCGAGGAGGGGTCGAAGGGCCCATCGGGACCAAAGATTAAGGGTCTGATTGAACCTGAGCCCGCCCGCCCTCCCCCCGCCCTACCGTAATGACTTGACCTGAATTACAAGTCAGAAGGCCTTTATAAGGACACCCTTATTAGGGCCCTCCATACGTACTATAAAGACCTCGACACGGAGCCAAACAGCCGGCTTCGGGTCGTTCGGAGCCCTTGGGATTTATAACCCAAGCAGGAAAAAGGCCGGGAGCGCGATTCCCAGTGTTCTGGGTATCTGGCATGTTGGAAGCTCCTGTGTCGGTCAAGGGCACACAATGCCTAAGAGGGGTCTTGCGTTGGCAAGAGACCCGAGTCCGTCAGGAGCCATTTGAGGCCCGAACAGGGGCTTGAAGTGTCTCTCGAGACCAATGATCAAGTGCCCACTTGGAGAACACAAGGTCCTAAAGGGTTATTGTACGCTCTGCAGGTTGTATTAGGGGCCCCGACTCGAAAAGCCATGATCTCAAATGTCAGTTAAAGGGGCTCTTGCACCGATTGGGGACCCTTGGGACAGTGCGTTCCTCTATTTCAGCCAGAGATCACAACACCGAACAGTTGTTTCCGTGTCAGTCTGAGCTCTAGGGCCCCATCTCCAAAACAGGGAGAAGGCCAAGATCGCGATTTTCGTTGGTCGGGCCGCTACAACAATACCCCCTGTGTTGGCCAGAGTCCCACAATGCCTAACAGTGTGTCCTTTGTCAACAAGGGGACCCAAGTCGGCCAGGAAAACACAGGGACGGGGACGGGCCTCCGGGTGCCAGAGGTCTATTGTGTTGGTCGAGGCATTCTGACAATAAAAGAAACATGAAACCTTGTAGTGACCGTTCACATTGAGATGACCTGAGTACCTTGTGTCAGTCAGGGTCTCCAGTTCCGAGCTGAGGGCTGTGAGCCCGAGCGCGTGCATGGCTGCGGGTCCAGCCATGAGCCCGTTAAGCCGAATTCAAGCCTATGCACCAAATATTGAACAACCTGCGGCCATCAGAAGTCTTGCTGCGTCATTGCAGGTTTTTGCATCAATCCAGATCCGATTGTGTGGGTCGGAAAGCCTCTCGCATAAGGGAAGGGACCAGTGTGATGTTATGTATTCCTGTAAAGGCCTCCGGATCGATCAGAGAGCCCCGCCCCCGCATCGCCAGACTAGCAGCCGGAAGGCACTCCGCGCTGCTACGGAATGGCCCTTCAGCCCTTGACCGGGAACGATAATGTGCCCCTAATGTCCCACTGACGGTGCTCCTAGCCCGAAAAATAAGAGTCAAGCTGTTGGATAGCATGGATCGAGATGAGGCAAAAATGAAAAGGCCAACCTATCTTTGGCCGAGGGCCTTCATCCTTTCGCAGAATTGAGTCGTGAAAAATTGCATGAATAACCGAACCTGCACGCCTGCAACCTCAGGGCCAGCAATGGCCAGCGTTGCAGTTTCCGTAAAATCGGATAGAGATGACCGCTGTCCTTCCTCGTGCGCGTTCGCAATCTCCGGACCGGGGTTGCAGTTTTCGTAAAACTGAACGGCGTTGACCATTGCACGTAACACCAGGTGGCGGGCAGTGTAACACCAGTGTGGGGAAAATATTATGCAAGTGTCATGGCAATGTCGAACGAAAACCTAACAAAACCAGGTGTATTCGGGACATTAAACCAGTCAAGCACAAAAGGGTTTTCCTCTGGTCTGTTTCTAACAAACAATGGGCTTGGCGTAGACATAATACGAGACCCTGAGACAGTTGTTCTGTGATTTTGTATAGTGCGTATTTTAGTACTTAAGTGCGTGCAGTACGTGTTGGGGAGTGTAGTGAGAGCTGTTAAAGTTTCTACTCTGAGCTCTCTCATGCTATTACTGCCGCCGGTAGGACTAATATTTTTATACCTGCAGATAGGCATAATCTTCATCTTACAAAAATTAATTTGATTATTATAAGTATTCTTTCATAGATATGCAATAGATACTTAATTATTATAATTATTGAATACATTAATTTTGGAAATCACGTCTTTGTTTATTGGTAAACGACCGCTGAATTAACCACTTTCAAATTAGACAATCTACTCGACCGGGGGCAATTTGTATCACACAGTGGTGAAAGCTGTCCATATGTGTTTCATTTTCATAGTGAGCTGCGTCGCAAGCAAGCTGAATATTTCACGACGTGCGTACGAAACACGTTCGTCCGTGTCATTTCTTAATTCATCGTAATTGCGACACGCCACTATTTTGCCCTGTTAATCAGTCAGGGTAGGCACGCACTGCGTAAACAAACACGCCACTGCCTGTCTGTTTTGCGACCACTGCCAGCTCGATTTCTGTTGCTAGGTTGGAAATTATGGACCTATACATGTAATGCAAATGTTGACTTGCTCTCAAGATCCCATAAGTCGTTGCCATTATATCAGTCAGCCATTGACAATAAATCAGTCAATAACGTAATGTCGGTTCATTGTATCAACGGTTCAGCATGCCCCATGCGCAGCTGAAACAACATATACCGCCCGACATCTCGGAAGAAAGTTCGTGCGACCCTGACATCCTCGGCCAAAAGATCTAAAATGATTCGCAGTATGTACGACACATGAACTTCCTCACGACTCAGTATTGGCCAAGTTAGGCCAAGTTACGCCGTAAGTCCCGAAACACACATTTACACTGATCGCGATAGCTTTCACGCTATGCAAAGAACACCTTTGTCGCGCTCACCCCAGACGCGTGCACGTATGCATTTGGAAATACACTGAACGGTAGAGTTAGCTGCTGCCGTCAGTTGAGAGGCTCAAGGCTCTCATCTGTCGCATAGATTTGGAATAAATCGGCCCGGTGCTACTTGGACATGAAACAAATCACACCGATCTCCTCCATGCGTTTTCTTTAGTGAGAATTGCGTTCAGCAGTCGAAAAACTAGTGCTTAGGTAATTGTTTCACATTTGTGATTTGTTGTGCTTTTAGCGCATCCAATGGTTTGTGCGTTACTCTACGAAGGATTATTATCCAAAATATATTCGCGTTTCTTTAGAATATTCTGTCTTTTTGTACTTGTGTCTTTGTACTTGTATGAGTTGTAAGCCAACCCATTTTGTGGATCATTAACCATGAATTGACCAACAGTAAAGTTACAACTTATTAGCGCAAGGTATTGACGTGGCTGGCTTTGGTCCAAAACGGCATGTTGCATTTAGCCATAAAACACACACACATATCGCTATATTTTCATTATTTTGCACCTGTTGATACAGAAAAATGCTTATTAGAATCGCAGTTTTCTTTTCACCCCAGAAGGCATAACGCTGGAATGGAACACTTCTAAGCTAATATCAATGAAAACCGTTCATAACGTAACGCCTCTTCAGTCGCTCGCTCCACACTCCCCGCTCATCATAACGCAACTCCCCAACACACCTGCACGCTGTTGTCTTTACGGCCCTGTGGACTTGCTCCATGCTTTTCATCGGAAGGCAAGATACATCAACATAATTTTCAGCGGCCCACGTGGGCACCATGCTACGACGGTGTTGCGGCCTCGCCCGGCCGCACCGGGCCACGGCCGCGGGCGGCTGCTTTCATGCCACCGTCAGCCAGCGCCGCTCCTCACGAGCCGCTCAGCGCGTTCTTGTCGACGATCCAGGCGACCTTGCGGTCAGCCTTGTCCCCGTGCACGGGCGCCATTTCCACCTGGTGAGGGGCCAGTGACCGCGAGGTTCTGCGTAGCTTATCTGTGATCGTCGTTCCGACAGATATGAAGATGGCAGAGAAACGAAGCTGCAAACGGTGTTGCGTTAGCTCTGCGGTGCACAGAATGGTTTTATGAGCATCGGCAAGGCGTATCTGTGGTGCAATGCTGAATCACATTATTTATCGCAATGATAGTACATTACACTTTGCACATCATAATTAAATGTAGCGTACCTTTTATACACGTAATATTTCTTGACAAACACCACAGGGACTCTCTCTCTCTCTCTCTCTCTCTCTCTCTCTCTCCTCTCTCTCTCTCTCTCTCTCTCTCTCTCTCTCTCCTCTCTCTCTCTCTCTCTCTCTCTCTCTCTCTCTCTCTCTCTCTCTCTCTCTCTCTCTCTCTCGCACAAACAGCCTGTTAACCCCCCTTACAAGCTACGTTCCATGACGCAATCAAACGATGATGCATTGCTAAGCATGGCTACTGAATAGCGAGATTTTGTCATTTGAAGCGATTTTTGCACATAAAGGCATACCATTAGTCACAGCATTTTCTTAAATCGTGGGTTTGAAATAATTACATCCTCTTGAACTGAGGTCCTGGGGCCCCTTCGGGCCTCTTAGGTCCTAACGGGGTAGGGTGTACGTACCCCTGTTCCATCCACGCCTGCGCCACTGCGTGGCAGATGTTGCGATTGAGCTAACCCTAATTGAGCTAACAGACATAGTGGTTTGGTATCTAATTTACTTTCTACGATGTGGGCAAATACAGAGCAAGAATGGGCGCAGAAAATGTCTTTAGAAAAACATCGAGGAAAAACCCGACTGCATGTTGTGCACATATTCATGTCACAGCGCTGGCAGCCACGGCAGCGGACCCAAAATGACCAGGGCACGTGTTTATGTTGTAAATTACAATCACCTTGACGATGTTGATGCACATGGACGTCAGCGCCAGTCCAAACACGAAGTACGCCATGGACGCAGCCATTGTGACCGAGTCCTGAAATTGCGACACGCATGTTAGGAATACACCGGCCTTCACCAACATGGGGACGTCGGGGAAATTTTTGGACTCGGGGCGGTGAACGCGCATTAGAAAGACACCTGGTTTGTCGGCCGATGCCTGGCATCGGGTGGGGTGGGTGAAGACAGGGGCCCCGTACAACAACGGCCATGTGAGCCGCTGTGTGCAAAATATAAATGGTTGCTTAGAAGTTTTCACGCCAGAAAAACGCAACAATTGCATTTTATCGCTTGAGCACTGGACACGCGCGCCAAGAGCCGATAGGTTTTATTCGTAGGGAGTGGTGAAAGCGTTAAGTCTCCTTTTCATATGCTTGCTCACATGTTTTCATTTTATTTGCTTTCATATGCTTTCATATGCTTAACACACGCCCTGGTGGCCGGTTGAATACCTTTCGCTCAATTTGACCCCGCTGAGATCTCAGGAACTAAGGGAACTAGACACCAAATTTACGGGGTGTGTTGATCTGTACGTGAACTTACTTGGGTGGAAGTTCGGCCCCTAGGTTATGATTTTCGGGTCAAATAAGGTGAAACAAAATCAAATGACAGATTGGTCTCCAAAGAGCCCCAGAACCCAGGCAACTGTTCTAAGCAAAAGGCCGCATGCTCGTTCAAGGTCAGTAAACATGTTTGGCCTTTTGAAGGTCATGGTGACCAAAATTACACAAGAATTCTTTGGGTTTTGCAATTGAATAAGCGACAAAGATTACACTAGGCAATATGTTCCCAAAAACAAAACGTTGACTTGAGTCATTGCAGGTCAGTGACCTATCCTGACCGTTAGGAAGCCCATAGAAGGTGTATAGTGCGGCTCCCATTATCAATAATGCGAGATGAGCACCAGAAACTAACCACTACCCCATACTGCAAGGTAGAGATATGTTGATTCTAGCCTTGGTTTGACCTTCATATCTAGTCCTACGTCAATGTAAATTATTTATTCAATTGTTGTGTTGCCTAAGAAAGTATCACAGAAATGTATGGCTTCGTCTGACACTCCGTTGTGGATCAGATTGACCGATTCCATAGAAATTGCCTGCGCTGAAACCATAGCCTGACTTTGACTTGCCATAGGTCAGTGACCTTACCCGGTTCATCTAAGTTTTTAATGCCAGACGATCCATTATTTAATTGTCTACAGCTTTGCAAAATTTGGCGCGGCCACGCCACACCGTTCGGAAATCATTTCGGAAAAACATTCGGGGGTCAGTTTGACCCTCGAGCGCGTGCTAAGGCGGTGCTCAGGGGAATCCATCCCACTGATGCGATGCACGAAACGACATCACAAAACATTCAGATGGATTCTTGAACAATGAAAATTCAGGTTACAGCAACGTCAATTCACCCCAGCTCACACTTGAAGGCCAGATCAAGGTCAAACTAAGCAACTTTTTATGAAAACTTTTGTTTTCTTAGGCAGTTTTTGACGCATGTTTCTATTTTTATTGTAGCATCAGCAAAATTCTTACTTTGACTTCATTTAAATCAAAGGAGGGCACTAACCTTATCTAGAATGTGACTTGCTTTTCAGTGCGTGTGTGCGTGCGGGAGGAGGAGGCCGGTGAGTGGCCTTCAAGGGAGTGTTCCACATTTGTATGGAGTTTCGAAGTGAAATAGTCATTTTGACGATCATTCGGTGCAGTTAAGAGCTCTGTCCTTCTTAAAAATTAAATCCCTCTAATTGCTGAACTATCCACTCACAGAGATGTACACACTATTTTAGGAATATTATTTCAAGTTCACCCAGGCATCCATGATGCCACAATAACGTCATTCAAATCATGCCATTCCATTAGTCATGCGGCGATTAAGGCAAAAGCAAATTTGATTTCGAGTCGTTCGTGTTTGGCGTTCGTGAGCACAACTTCCAGAACAACGGCAGTCAACATTGTCTCTCAATCAACGTTATGCAAAGTACGATGACGTAATCAAACAACGGCGTATTGAGGAGCAAGTAAATAAACAAAGAAATTGTGCTGTCTTGAGTAAGGAATTTCACTTAAAGTGCATCGATAGTTATAATGTACATGAATCATCATATCTGATGCTTGCTTCATTATTTTCAAATGTGGGATATGCCCTTTAGCGGAGGGTTTATATGAACTCGTTTAGTATGACGAAAATGGTCGCGATGAATAAGAAGGCTCAAAAAAGTGTATTCGCTGAGATAGAACTTCCGAAAGTACCTGAAACTCTGGTGTTTCAATAGGAGACAACTGGCCACCCCGTAGCCGTCTCTGTCTGTTAGTGTGTTGTTTCTGTCCGCCACAAGCACTCGGTTCACTTGAGGACGCTTCCGAATTCTCAAGGGGCTTCTCCCCTGGCTTCTAATGTCCCTTCTCGGCACTGGGGAGACCTGGGAACTGACCCGGGCTTTTTAGCAGCTGCCCCAAACTCGAAATTCTAAGACTCTCACCCTAGGGAAGCGCTGAAAGGGCGCAATCTAGGCATAGTGTTTGAGATCGTGACTGATCGAAAGTTAAACTGTGCTCGGTCGTAGACAGAAATTATATTTCCCCACTAAATACACAGCTAGAGCACTTTCTGGCATTTTTATATTATGCCCATCTCAGAACAGCACTGTCCGTCGTGTGTTTTCCCTGCAAGAAATTGCGCTTGTGCAAAAAGCAGAGTAATACAGTGTGTGTGTGTGTGTGTGCGTGTGTGTGTGTGTGTGTGTGTGTGTGTGTGTGTGTGTGTGTGTGTGTGTGTGTGTGGTGTGTGTGTGTGTGTGTGTGTGTGTGTGTGTGTGTGTGTGTGTGTGTGTGTGTGTGTGTGTGTGTGTGTGTGTGTTGTGTGTGTGTGTGTGTGTGTGTGTGTGTGTGTTTGCAAATACCATACACAGTGCGCTTATGCCCGTGAATGATAATTAGTGCGGGTTCGTTCAGCTTTGACAATGCTTTGCTACCTTTTACTGAACTGTAAGCACTTCATGGCATGGCAGTGGTGTGGGATGCCCCTTTTGGGGCTTTTACTGAAAGAGCGCTTGTGAAAGGAGTGGGTGAATTCGGGTTAAGTACATAAGAACCAGGAGTCCAAGAGCTTGGAGTGTACTTTGCCTAGTAAGTTGGAGGACTTTCGGTGGTGTTCGCGACCTTTCTCTTCTTGAGACTAAAGTCTCTCTAGTTGCTGATCTATACCCCCGCGAAAATGGGAAAAGGTATATCGGGGAGAGTGTTTCAAAGTCACCCCGGCCTTTATGACGCCATGAGAACGTCATACAAATTCGGTTATTCCATAAGCCGTGCGGCCATGCAGACCAAGAACAATATAGTTGTCGAGGCGTACATATCTGGCGTTCATGAGCGCGATTTCTAGATATAACGGTCGTCAGTTGACTCTCAGTGTTGGCGAAGTGCGATGACGTAATAAAACCATGACGCATTGAGGAGCGTATTTACTAAACAGATCATTGTGCTGTCTAGAGCAGTCTTTTTCACTTAAAAAATATACCAATCGTTAGGTTGAAAATCAGTTGGTATGCCAAAAGTATACCAAAAGGTTATATGGATACGAAATGAAAATGATAAAATAATTTGGTACTTCCACTGCTGAGCGCAAAGAGATTTTGCTACCCCTTAGGCCCAGGGGAAGGCAGGCACGGCTCCATGTCCCCTGGATACGGCACTGGGCGCAGGATCTCACAGGATGTCGCAAGGGATAGCGAAATTATTTTGAAACATCAGAAAGAAGAAACAAAATGAGGAAGATTCACATACTTCACTTATTCACTCTTCGGTTAATTCCGCCTTCAGCCTGCTCGATTATATTCCTCAGGTGTATATACACCATTTTATATAATGTATATATATATATACCATATAGACACCACTATATATGTACATGTATATCATGATGTCATATATATATATATATATATATATATATATATCATATGCATACCACCGATACTTTGAGTGAAGTAAGTTTGGTTAGAAATAACAGCTCTGCCAGGTGTTGAGGCTACCTCCTCAACATGCCAAAACTGGATTATTGTCTGGAAGTCATCCTTTATGAGAATGTTTCATGTTGCCATGGGTTCTGAACTGAGCCGATCGAATTGTTCCCAAATGTTTGAAATTTATGACCAGTTTGCTCATGCTCAAAAATGGCTGATTTCCTCATTCGTGAACAAGCTACTAACTTATATATAATAGACTCGTCCTTCATCTAAACCAAAATCAGCTAATTCACCAAAATCAGTTCGGATTTCAGAAGAACAAAAGTACCTACATGCCAATTCTTCTTCTGCAGGAAACTATCACTAAGGCTTTTGAAAACGGGAATATGTGTTAGGTTTGTATTTAGATTTGAAAAAGCCTTTGACACTGTAAACATTAGCCTTCTTCTACGTAAACTTACTAAATATGGTATTCGACGAAAATTTCATGAAATCATTTCTTCATATTTGTCTGGCAGAACTCAATGTGTAAAAATCAGGAAATATCTATCAACAATCAAAAACGCAACAATGGGGGTACCCCAAGAATTCATTCTCGGCCCAATCCTCTTTTTAATGTACATAAATGACTTACCTAAATTAAGCAGTAACATGATTTGTCTGTCTTATGCTGATGATACTGCGATTGTTTTCAAAAATAAAAGTATTGTCGAACTTCAAAACAATGTCAATACGCTTTTGCTTCTAATGACTTCTTGGTTTGCTGCTAATTTTCTCTCCCTGAACGTATCAAAAACATTCACACAGCACTACACAGCCCTTTCTTCGTATTTCCGACTAAATGTGCGAATTAATAATTCACCTATTGAAGGGAAAAAAGAAATTAAATACTTTGGTGTAATCATTGACAAATCTCTTAAGTTTACAAGCCACACTAATTTTGTTGCAAGCATAGTGAGTAGAAATATTGGAATAATAAGTAGGGTTTGGTACTTTATTGATAAAACAACGTCACATCTACTCTATTACACTTTGATTCTTCCTTATCTAAATTACTGCTGCTTGGTTTGGGG